AGGATTTTGGCCTCTGCCTCCCCTTCCTCCACGACCACCTGACCCAGATCGACCTCCAATAGGTGTGTAAACCTTCGAATCAGCCATACCACCACCAACTCCATGAGAATGGACACTCCTAGCCATCGGAAGGGCATCAAGCTTCGATACCAGATTTCTCGCCCTAGCAAAAAAGAGGCTGTCTGGGATATACTTATTCGCGATCTACAACAGCTTCCTCACTCCCCTCCATTTCTACGTTGTCTGACCACCGAGATTGGAGAAGATTTAGGGCAGAAGCTGTTAGGGTTGAAGTTTCCTCTTGGATAAGATCACACGGGATCAGATCCTCCTGATCCACACCAGATATGGAAGCCTTCATACGATTAAGCTCCTCTCTTCACTCCTCAAAGGGCTTCGACTGAGTAACTCGCCGAAACGGATCCCCCTGTGCAACCTCCACTGAAGCTAACCCCAACGATGCAACCCCTTTCTCTCTTTCATTAATCACGATAATATCACTCGTCAACCCTTCCATAGATTCCACAAAGGAAGAAGGGTTCAAATCGGCCTCACATACACAAAGGCTACTCACTGGATTTGCCTTTATTTATTTATTTATTTTTTCTGTTTTGCAGTTACAAAACGACGTCATTTTCAGATTGGCGACCAAATTTTTTTGGTCGCCAAAAAATTTCATTTCCCCCATCCTGGTTGTTCAAATTTCCCTCCCAAACTTTTGGCGACCAAACGACCAAATTAGTCGCAGAAAAAGTACCTTCGCCAACAAACTTTTTTAGTCGCCAAATCTCAATCAACGGCGACTAAAATATTGGTCGCTAAAAATACAAATTTGGCGACTAATTTTTTTTGGTTGTTGAAAATAAATTTTTGGCGACCAAAAATTTGGTTGCCAAAAAATATGTGACCTTCCGCGACCAAATTTGTAGTTAGTCGGGATAAGTATACCACTTTCTGCGACCAACTCATTTTTTGGTCGCCAAAATATAACCTTCTGCGACCAATAATATTTGGTCGCCAAAAACCATGATCATTCGCGACTAATTAATATTTGGTCGCCAAATGTCATTTTTTTGCGACTAAAATTTTTTTGGTCGGCAAAAGTGGTCGCCAAATGTGTAAATTCTTGTAGTGATACATGGATGCTAAAGCGTAAACACTCACAATATACTCCGAGGCAAAATAGAAGCTAGTTAGAAATCATGCATGATCCTAACTATACAAGATGCCTACTGCAACGCATGCAAAAATGCAACTAAAATAGGCTCGGCTATCTAAGATGGCATATGTATGCTACACTTGATACATGTATTCAAATAGGAATTGAAATACAATGCAGTTTGAATGATGCGCTGAGCCCAGTGCATGCAAGACAAATGAATGATGCACGCATGCAAAGCATAAGGTATGCTAATTGAAAAATGCCCTAAACTAACCATCAAAGAATGATAAGTAAAAGGGAGAAAGACGTGTGGTTGGAAGACATGCATCACACACACGCACACTTATTACAAAATTTGCCCTCTCGACGGAGGGTTCGAATGAATAAGCTAAGCTACATCTAAGCTAAGCTAGCTAACTAATCTAATAATCTAATTAGACTAATTATTACACAACACAAATTGAATGACTAACCACAACTAGTTATTACAGAACTTTAACTAATTAACAAATGAATTAATTAAATTACAAATTCATGCTAAGCATTAAAGTGTGAACTAGGCTGCCTCTGCTCTGCCTTGAAGAAATTGAAGATGCATGCTCAGTTCCAGTCCCGAAAAGCTCTCCAAATGCTCTTTAGAGGCTCTGCTTGCAGGGTGTCCTTGAGAACTAGCTACTGGATCTCACCAAAACAGTGCTGAGGAGTGCACCAGTGGCCTGCCAGCCATGAGAAGCTGTTGTTGACCCCCCTGCCGACCAAATATGCACACTGCCGACCAAGGATGAAGAGCTGCCGGCCTGAAATAAGAGGTTGCCGGCCACTGATGTGCTGGAACACCAAGCTGTAGCAGAGCACAAAATAGAGAAATGGGAGGGTCTCCCAAGGGTATGTACGTATATGCCCCTCCATATCATCTCGAAACATCAAGGGAAAGGCATAATTGGATCCAAGACCATCAATCGAGCATCGCAATGCGTGATAGCCAAAGATCCAATTTGTACAAACTTAATAAATGCATGACAAACAAGACACTTAGACCATCTCCTTATCATGAGAGATCAAAGGCGATGGAGACCAAGGGAGATCGGCTCATTTCATCACGTCAAGTATGAAATGAGCTAATCCACCTTTATGTTCAACATAACATCCGATTGAACACAATGCAATGCACACGAACAACATGTTATGCAAACAATCATGCTAATCTTGACATGTTAAGATGGCATGCATGAGACTCTATCATGCAAGCAATGTATGCAAGACAATGTTAAGGGGGCCAAGAGCACCAAGTCTAGTGAAGAGAATAACACTATGAGCATGCATCACAATGCTCAAACAACCAAACCAGCTCAAAATATAGTTACATCATGCCAAAACAGTGGCCAAAACATGTTGGAATTGAAGCTCAAAGGGCTAGGTAAACATGCACACATGTTGGTCATAAGCTAGGCATAATGCTCAACTCTCAAACACAATCAAAGAGTGATATACATGAGAAGATGGAAATGATATATGCTCTGAAATCAAGTGCTAAATGATGCCAAATCACATAAATACCACAAACAAAGCATGCTAGAAGGCTCAGAACTCAAAACTAGCTAAGGCATTTGCACCATAGCCATATCAAGCAAGCCCCGATGGGCCAAGATGACTCAAAACAGTCCCAAGGTAGGTCAAAACAATGCCAAAAACATGCTTGAACATAGCCAACATATGCTAGAATAAAATGCCAAAACACCAAGCATGTAAGACCAAAAAGTGGGATTATACTACAAGTGTAGAAGCAAATGAGGGATGCTCTAACCAACCAAAAACAGAGTTGTATCATGGCAAAATAAGGCCAAAAATACACTGAGATGGTAACCCAAAAGCTTAGGCATACATGCATACAAGTTAGGCCATGATTAAGGCATAACACATAGCTCTCCAAAAGCATTGAAAGAGTGAAGCATGAGAGAGTATGACCACACTATATATACTGAAATCATGTTAGATATGAGACCAAAGCATGCAAACGACTCAAGTGATGCATGCTAGAGACTTGACACTCAAAGCTAGTGAAAGCCACTTATATTACAACCATACAAGGCAACTCTCACTTGGCCAAGACCAACCAAAACAGAGCTTAAGCATGTTAAAACAACACCAAAAACATGCTGAGATAGAACCAAAATAGGCTAGCATGATGGATCAAAGCATTGAGCACACAAGGCTAAATGGCAAGATTACACTACAAGTATAATAAGCATGCATGAGGCAACCAAAGCAGCCAAAAATAGAGTTATATTAGGTCCAAAAACTCACAAAAACATGCTCAAACTAAGCCTTAAGAGGATAGAAATACATGCTCATTTGATAGGCCAATAACACATGCTAACAAGGCAAGGGGAAGGAGGACCGCCCCCTCTCATTTTGGGTCTCAAAACCACATTTCTACCACTGAAAATCTCCTGGATTTCAGTGGCTAAAAGGCCAAATAAAGACTAATACAAAAGCTTCAAAGGATGGCTCAAAAGCTTAACAAATAAGGCACAAGGGGGGGGAGGGTGAAACACCCCAACACTAAAGAGGCCTCAAACAACCATCTTAAACACTTGAAAACACGAATTTTTGTAGTTGAAAGCAAGGCCTAAAACAATATGCAAGGATGGCCAAATAAGCAATGAAAATAAAGCTTTAAAGAGGATATGAGACTCACCCTTGAAGCACATCAATAACAGCAAGTTTCTGAGGCAAAACCAAGCTAAAACCACCCAAATACAACCTCCAAGAACCTCATCTTAAGAGTGAAGGTGTTCTACTATGTGTTGTAGTGCAAAAGTGAAGAGAAAATGCACTTTAAGGCACAAACTAGCACAATATATATAGAGAGAGTGAGAAATATAGAGAGATATATTGTCTCTAAAATGTCTGAACCTCTAGAAAGGGCGAGGAGCCTCCCCTTATATAGAGGCATGTAATGCAAAGCTTGTTTAACAAGCTTGAAAAGGCCTCCATCCCTTCATACACGTGTATGGAGGATGGTTCAGTGAAAACCAGCTGGCTCAAAAGATCTAGCACAAAATCTGCTGAGACAAGGTGTTCTGCTGGCCATCAGTGGTGGCCGACAGTGCCTCATTGATGGCCGACAGGCTTCATCAATGGCAGGCAGGGACAACTCCATAGTCGGCATGGCCAAAAGGTGGCTGGCAGTGCCTCACAAGAAACATGCTGAAAGGACCAACACATGGTCCAAAAATGAGACAGAAAGAATACAGGGTTTGGAAAGCTCAAACCTGTGACGTTCTGCTGCGAAATTTGAATACTCGACGAGCAATCGAACTTGTTATTGGATGCACCTGCAGGCATATCTAAGTCTTAAGGACGGTCAAAAATGGGGTGTCTACACTCCCTCTCTCTCTAGACCTTTCTTCTCTCTAGATTTGAGCTTTATACACGTTTTCTAACGCCCTACGCGAAGTTGATTCGTTAAAACCTCTTAATTTCCTTCGTTTTGAACCGATTGAAAATTAATTTTGGTGCTTTTTTCTTCATTTTCACCACTTGAGGCTTGTTTCCCTCGAGTTTCTCATGAGTTTGGCACTTTTTCCCGAGCTTTGGCTTTTTCTTCCACTTTCTCTCTCCTAGGGTTGAGTTGACGTTTGGCATTTTCCACCCATTTCCCCAATTTTCTTCACTTTTCATCGACTCTTCATCTATATTCCAGATGGCAGACGACTTTCTACATGATAGGGCTCCTCTAGAGGCGGAGTTCGATTCTGATGTAGAGCTGGAGCGCT